AGTGAGGAAACTCTTTTCTTTTCTAATTTACGCACTTCTCTTGGTTGATTAAGTATTTACTTTTAATCATAAATTCTTTTCGACGTCTTCCAGCTTTTTTTCTACAATTTCCGCATATCTGCAGATCACATCCGTTAAGTTAATTCTGACAAGTATCGGGCCCTGAGGAAGTGTTAAAACAAAGGTTAACTAGGTCCTTAAAAGAAGAAAAATAAAATGAACAAAATATTGTGTTTATTTATGTTGATCTATTTATTCTATGGTACGAAAATTATTCATATATAAATATAAATATATATATATATATATATATATATATATATATATATATATATATATATATTTATTAGCTCGCATGAGAAATTGTATAAAAAGCACCTTGTCTGTGGCATTCAATGGAATGTGCATATATATCTATGCCTATCTATCTATCTATCTATCTATCTATATATATATACACACACACACACACATATATATATATATATATATATATATATATATATATATATATATATTCGAAATTATAACATAAATATGTTATAAAATCACTACAAAAATACTCATTTTGTTTCAAAACTTCTGATGTCTTATTGGAATTTATTCATTATACACCAATCCTATACTTGTATATATATATATATATATATATATATATATATATATATATATATATATATATATAGATAGATAGATAGATAGATATATATGATCTTGGTAAATTGCTCAAAATCAATTGCTCGACAGTAAATAGAAATTATTTTTCGAGCAATTGATTTCGAGTAATTTACCGGTTACCTATATATATATATATATATATATATATGTATATATATATATATATATACTACAGGGAAACAGAACATATGTAGCTCTCTGAAGGAAAAAAATATGTTAGTTCTATTATAACATTATTTTCATAGATTTTTTATCTTTTATTCTAACGTAATTTATACAAAATATCAAAATCAAAACAGCTAAGAATTGAGGTGAGGGTACAAATTAAAACTTTATTCCCAGGATGCTGCTCTCAAAAACAAATTGCCAAGAAGATTTCTAGACATGATTTGCCATATTCGTTACAAAGACAGTTACAAACTGGCGCAACTGTTGACAGAATAATAGCTGGAGCACTAACAGTGAGAACGGTTGCTTAATTTAAACATATGTTTGCAATATTCATGACGTTTCAACCGTTTTACGCTACGGACTTCTACAGGTGGAATTTCGAACCGAATCCTTTATTTAGTGCAGTGGGCTAGATTATTAAAATTCCACCTGTCTGGGCTTTTCTTGGATATACCAGTATCAGTTAATTCACTTGAGTAACTCAAATCCCAGATTTTTGTTCTACTGTAGCCAGGTATTGAACTCACAATTCTTTAGGTCAAATCACTTTTTGGATTACTCAACCAACGCTTCTATCCACTAGGGCATCAGTGAGCGAAGTTTGAGGACTTATAAACGTAATGTCTCAGTAACCATGTTTTAGCAGAGTTCCTTTTAGAAATTTTGGCTATTGTTGTTTTTCTCTAGCTCAATGCCTATGCTGGGTCCGCTTAGATGGTTTTTGTGGCTAGCATATGTGCTGATTCCTTATATTTTCCTATTTTCCACTAATGTTCTCGGTCTATTATTTGAACTTCATCTTACAGAGGGTGGTGATCTTCCTTCTGCCTCCATATATTAAGCCATGCCTGATTTTTTTATAGTTGTTTTTCTCTACCTCACTCTATTACTGTTTCGCCTATTGTATTCATACCTATGCTTGGTCCGCTTAGAAGATTTTTGTTCACCTCTGCCGTGGCCAGGTATTGAACTCATATCGATAATCAAGTCACTGGATTACTTCAACCTACGCTTTTATTCACTGAACCATGTGACCTTGCTGTATGAATTTTTAGGGACTTATAAACCTAAAGTATCAGTAACCTGTTATGGTACGGTTCCTTGTACCACGATGATAGTCCAAGGTAGAAACAATAAAGAAGAACTTCTAAACAGGTATGGAATAACACAGATATATTACAAACAGGAATATATACAGAGAAATAGAAGTGTTAGTATGAACAATCAGGTTTAGTAGAGAGAACAATGTAGTCTCGACCAGTATCACTATTCCAATGTCTTGCAGTAATTGTCTGAACGCGACACTGTTTCGGACTGCTTCTGACTCGACTCTTGACTCGACTTGAACTACTGACTCGACTTGAGCTACTGACTATATTCAGTCACCCCCCACGAGGGCGTCATGTGGCACAAGGCCGGTTTAACGTGGGATCTCCGAGCCCGTGTGATCTCTGTGCCCGTGGGATCTCCGAGCATTGAACCCGTATAAAAAGGTCCAGGGTCGGTTTACCTCCCCGAAAGAGAATCCTCGTTCGGGTTCCTCCCCGCCCGAAGGCAGAGAGTTCACCCGATCAGCCGGTCGAGACTTGAACGACCGACTCGTTGCCTACTCCTGAGGCGCAGTATTTATTAAGTAACGAATAGTCCATTATTATTATTATGGATAAGGTCCCATAACATAACCATATTTTACCTGAGCTTATATTTCAATTTGTTGTTTCTGTTGTTTTTCTCTACCACTCTACATTACTGGTTCCCATATTGTATTCATATCTGTGGCTTGGCCGGGTTAGGAGATTTCCGTTGACTAGCATATGCGCTGATTATTTAAGTTTTCGCATTTTCCAGTGATGTTCTCCGGCTATTATTTTAACTTCATCACAGTAGGCGGTGATCTCCCTGCTATCTGCATATATGTTCAGGCATGCCCGATTTTCTATTTTCCCCCCGTGTTATGACTTTAGGATCTTAAGAGGACGTGAATATGGAAATAGAAATAAGGACAGTACTCTGAAAGATGTAAATAGTGTAAATATTTACAACAGCTCATCTCAGAAATATAGAGATCCTGAAGAAGACCGGAGCGATACAACGGCTGAAACGTCGTGAATATGGCAATAAAGATGAGGACAACTGTCTGAACGATGTAAATAGTGCAAATATTTACAATAGCTCATCTCAGAAATATAGAGATCCTGAAGAAGACCGGAGCGATACAACGGCCAAAACGTCGTGAATATGGCAATAAAGATAAGGACAACTGTCTGAACGATGTAAATAGTGTAAATGGTTATAACACCTCATCTCAGGAATATAAATAGATCCTGAAGACGGCTGCAGCGTACAACGGCTGAAATGTCAGGAGTCTGGCAATGAAGATGAGGACAATATTCTGAACGATGTAAATAGTGTAAATATTTACAACAGCTCATGTTAGGTATATAGACGGATCCTGAAGAAGGACGGAGAACTGCAATGGTTGAAACGTTGTGAATATGGCAATAAAGATGAGGACAACAGTCCGAACAAAAAATAGTGCAAATGGGGACAACATCTAATCTCAGGAATATGAACAGAGCCCGAAGAAGATCGGTTCGTACAACGACCGAAACGTTGGAAGATGACAATAAAAATAAGGACAACTGTCTGAACGCGATAAATAGTGCAAATAGTTACAATATCTCATCTTAGAAATATAGATAGATCTTGAAGAAGGCTAGAACGTACAACAGCCGAAACGTCGGGAATATGACAATAAACATGAGGACAGCTGTCTGAACGATATAAATAGTGTAAATGGTTACAACACCTCATCTCAGAAATTGTGATACCGGAACATACCTATTCTATTGTTAATAGACTCCCCCACGCATAATGAGTCGTAGCAATCGCCAGGGAGCTCAGTGAGTTGGTGAGTCAGTCGATGTCGGACATTAAAGTATCAACCACCACAAGTAGATTGCTTTGTCATTATCTATTATTTCAAGTTCCTAACGTTTTGTACGTCGAACCTTTTTTTCGGACCGACTTAGTGAAATACAAGCCTCCACTGTGAAAACTACTCTACAACACATTGGCGACGAAGGATTCGTTCTCATACGGAGGAAGAAAAAAATTTCCGTTCATTCTACAACAGAAATATAGACAGATGATAAACACTTGATTATTGAGAGCCAAAGATATAGAAGGAAAGCTGCTCCAGAGTTGACAGCTGAACTTAATTCCTTTCGACAGTAACCCTGTGTCGATCTCAACTGTGAAAAGCCGACTTAGACGAGCCGGGTTGAGGCGGTTGGATAGCCATGAAGAATTTCCTGTTAAAAGAATTTGAATAAGCAGATAAGATTGTTATCAGCAAAAAGTCATGGAACTGACTATTGAGAGATAGTGGAAAAACGTCTTGCGAAAAGACGATTTCAAATCTAAACATTTGATAGAAAATGGTGAGTGTATGCGAGAAGGAAGGCAGGAGAAGGAAGGAATGATGAATCTGTGGTTCCAGTAGTTAAGCATGGTACTGGACCTGTTAGGATGTTTGTTGTCGGGGGAAATAGGGCTGGAGATTTGATTCGGGTCAAGGGAATCATAAAATGATCAATATCATTCAATTTTGCAAGGACATCAATTTGCTATCAATCTGGTTTACGCATAATTTGAAAAAAAATATCACCGTTCGACAAGAACTTCGATTTTTACCAGAGCTTATATTGCAATTTTTGTGTTCTTTATTAATTTCTTTTTCTCTAGCACTCCCTAAGCATATTCCAATATTTTATTTATTTCTATGCTTGGTCGGCTCAGGAGATTTTTGTGGCCTAGCATATGTGCTGATTCCTTAAGTTTTCGTTTTTTCAGTGACATCCTGAAGAAGCATGGCACGTGGAACTACAACAACCTATCCCGGTGAACGAAATAAAGGGTTCAATTTGAAATTCCAATCACCTGAAGAGGGCTGGAGCGTACAGTGGCCGAAACGTTTTGAATATGGCAGCGAAGATGAGGATAACAGTCTGAATAATGTAAATAATCCTTTTTTGCTATCTTTTCTTTCTGGTTTTCAAATATTTCTTTCCCCCCACCCTGATTTTTCTTCATATTTAAATGAATTATAATTCTTTCTCTATTCTTTCTCCATTCTCTTTCAGTCGCACATGTCTTTTAATTTTTTCTTAATTGCTCTTAACGAATATTCATCTGCATTCTTTCTCTCGTTCTTTCTTTCTTTCTTTCTTTCTTTCTTTCTTTCTTTTGTCCTTTCATTCGTTTTTTACGTCGTCCCCTGGTTTCAGCGTCGACTGTTTCGTTCGATCCCTTTCGCGACGCCAATTCTCTTTCGTGACGTGGTCCTTTCTTTCTGATCCTTCGTGATCACTTTCTTTACACCAGTTGTTTTCGTTTTTGCCGCGGCGTCAGCTGTTCGCTCCTCGCTGCTCCAAATCTTTACGTTCTAACCCTTTGGTTAGATGAATATCAGCCTTTCGTCGTTTCCAACCCGCTTCCAACGCCTTTTTACCAGGCTTTCTGTTTTTAGTTTGATCTTTCTTTTGCCTACCCACGTTTGATTAGATCTTTCTTTAGACGGGATCAAACAGGGATTGGTTCCGTATTTCAAGCTTTTCTTTCAACGGGGGTCCTTTTCTTTCAAGAAAAAAAAAACTCACAAGGTCAAAATTTTGAAGAAAAAAAGGTAACAACTTTTTTTTTCTAATTTTTCGTTACACAAGATTATTCTTTTCTTTCGACCCGTTCTGTGGACCGTGGCACCTTTTTTCTACCATACAACTTTAAGGCTTTTCTTTGTTTCCCGCTCTCTTTTGCATTTTTCATGTGGTTTGGTTTCAACACTGTCCTTTCTTTTTCTCTACCTCTCGTTCACGGCTGATTTCTCTCGCCGTCCGTGGCTTTCTTTTTTCCTAACTTTCTTTCTTCTTTTCTTTCTGAATTTTTTCGTTTTTATTCATCTCCGCTGTCAGTGCTTCCTATTTTTCTTCCTTTTTCTTCGGCTTCGGTTGGACGATCTTATTCATTTCGGCTTTTTTGGACGAATTTTTTCATCTTCTTTCATTTTTGTTGGACGAATTTCTTCACTTTTCGGTTTGATTCCATTCTTCTCCACTTTCTAGGCTAAACGGCTTTCTCACTTCGGCTTCTCTTGCCGCAATTTTTTACTTTCTTTCATTTTTTTTTTCCGCGCTTTCAACTTTCAACTTTCAACTTCGTCCTAGGCGCAACCCCAACTGCAACTTCTTTTTTTCTTCTTCTTTTTTTTATTCTCTTCCCCGCAAGGGGGCGAATGAACCTATTTTTTTCGCCATTTTTCTTTCAAGCTTTCTTCGCTGTCCGCGGCACAACTTTTCAACTTTCTTTCTGTCGATTGGGGTCCTGCTTTTTTTTTTTCAAAAACTGGGGTTTTCGTCTGTTTTCGCCAGGGTTTTCTTTTCTTTCTTCTAAAGACGTATTATTTCTGATTTTCTTTTTTTCCATTATTTTAACTTTCTTTCACTCCTTTCTCCTTACTGTTCCTCTGGGGGAGGCGTATTTTTCTTCCACTGGTCCCTTCGTATGTCAGGTGACCGCTCTTTCGACCAATGGGGTCCTGGTCGGGCATCTTTCCTCCTTCCCTCGCACATCACGTGACCGCCCTTTCTTCCAATTTTTCGACTCTGGTCGGTTATTCTTTCCTTTCTTTCTTCTTTTTTGACGTCTTTTTTCTAATCGGGCGTGGACAATCCGTTTCTTTGTTCTGGGGAAGAAACACCTTTTTTTCGTTTTCTTAAAAAAACAAAATTTAAATTTTCCTTTTCGTACGTGATCGAATTCCACTATTTTCGGTTCCTTTTTTCTTTCGTGGTATCTGTCAAACAGCCTTTACCGCTTTCCTTTTTTTACGATCTAAGAAAGGAATTTTTGCGTGGCGTTCTTTCGAGCTAATTTTCCTATTTTTTCCTTTTTCTTTCGCTCTTTCTTTCTTAACCTAAATTTAATTATCTCAAAAAAAAGCGACATCACCTTTTTTGTTTTTTTTTTTCAACTCTGGAATCGTCTGGGTTCTTGTATTAATGCTTTGTTTTCATATCCTTTTTTACACTTCCCCATCTTTTACCTATCATCTCCTATGACATCCTTTTCATTTGTTATTCTTATCAATATTTTTTTTTCATTGTCCCTAAAATTTTTTCTTTCTTCAGCCAAATTTTTATAACAACTTCCATTTTTCGTTCTTTCCCTAGTTTTCATTTTCTTTGACCTTTATTTTTTCTTCATCTTTTATTTTCCAGTCGAGCGTGTGTGTTTCGCTCATGACCTGGTTTTTTATCGTATTATATTTTTTCTTTCTTTTTTTCTCCCTTTTCTTTCTTTTCTTTCTCCCAGATTTCTTCCTATTTTTATCGAACGCAATTAGAGAATTATTCTTCAACTCCGAAAATATTTTTCATCTCTAAATAACTATCAAATGGTTAACAAACCGAAAAAAATAAATCATATATTTATTTTTTTTATCTCCTTTCAGTTTTCCAATCATGCATTTTTTTTTCCTTTTATTTTTTCTTTCTTTCTTTCTTCCTTTTTTTCGTTTTTTCATTTTTCTTTCTTTCTACTTTTCTTTTCTTTATTTCTTTCTTTCTTTCTTTCTTTTCGTTTTCTTCTTTCTTTCTTTCTTTATTTCTTTCTTTTTTTTTATCTTTCTTTCATTTTTTCGTCTTTCTTTTTTTTTTTTTTTTTTCTTTCATTTCATTTTTTCTTTCTTCATTTTTCGTCCTTTCTTTTTTCAGTTCTTTCTTTTTTTTCTTTCGTTATTTTTTTTTTTGTTCTCGTATTTTTTTTTTTTCTTCTTTTCGATTTTTATTTCTTTTTCCCCTTCTTTCTTTCTTTCTTTCTATTTTTCCTTTTTCTTTCTTTCATTCTTTCTTTCTTCCTATTTTTCGTTTTCATTCTTTCCTTCTTTCTTTCTTCCTATTTTTCGTTTTCTTTCTTTCTTCCTATTTTTTCGTTTTCTTTCTTTCATTCTTTCTTTCTTTCTTCCTATTTTTTCGTTTTCTTTCTTTCTTTCTTTCTTTCTTCCTATTTTTTCGTTTTCTTTCTTTCATTCTTTCTTTCTTTCTTCCTATTTTTTCGTTTTCATTCTTTCATTCTTTCTTTCTTTCTTTCTTCCTATTTTTTCGTTATCTTTCTTTCTTTCTTTCTTCTGTTTTCGGTTGTGTTAAATCATTGGACATTTTGACGCTCTTCATCAGCCTCATTCTGATACAATTTACGGAATTTCATATGCAAAGTATGGAATAAGATATCAAATATATTCGATAGATATAACAATGCAACTCACCCATTTCTTTTACACCTAAATGAATAATTTGTAATATCTATCTATCTATCTATCTATCTATCTATCTATCTATCTATCTATCTATCTATCTCAGTATATTCATTATCTAGTTATATAAATACAATTGATTTTTTAATTAAGCAGTATTATTTATATTTAAAAGGACTGATTTTATTTGACTTGCTATACCATTTAGCTACAAAGTAGCATCCCGTTAGCAAAGTCTAAATTACTCATTTATATATTAAATCTTTTCTTTTTGTTCGATCACATCTGCTCCCAAAACTATCTATCTGTGTCACTATTTGTTAGTGTTGATCATGGTAAAAACGGCTGACCCATGGTCGATTACACACATCTAAAATTACGGGATGTGAATGGAAATTTTTCTGCGTAATCAACGAACTTAGAATTATTTTTTACTAGTCGGAGGGAGGCCGAGGTAGCAGACGCAGATGAGACAACAAGGAAGGTGGAGGAGCCACCCACAACAATTAGCGGGAAATGATAATAAGAGAAAGTGGAAAATATGGAGTGGAGAAAAGCCTGTAGCCTGTAAACAGATGAATTCTCCGAAATTATGAAGTAATTTTATTCCTCAGACCTAGACAATAGAGATTACAGGCAGAGGGAAAACACCGAATTCCTCAACCTCGTCGTGTCGTGCCTCCGCGCTGGTTTTCGTATTTATTAACGTTCAGTTAATAAATACGAATTAACCGAAGCGAATGATGAGAGAGAGAAAGAGAGAGGGAGAGAGTGATTATGGGAGAGATAGAAAAAGAGAGATAGTTCCAGTCACCGCACGCGAGACACCCCACGTGATTATCAGTCAATGAGAACTTTACTAAATCAGTAAAACAAACTTTACCAAGTCAACAAAAGTGACACATCCGAGTTAGAAACGGGTTGGGCTGATAATTGTTTGCATGTGATCTTTTGTATTTAACAACAATTAACGAAGGAATCTCACATAAAAATAGTATTTATTTATATTTATATTTTAACTTCTTCGAGTGTTATTTTCTTTTTTTTCTGTATTCGTCCTGCTTGGACCCGCCCAATACGAAGATACCTGACGACGATTCGATATTTACCGTCTTATGATCAAAGTAAATCACAAGGTGGGATAGATCAAGACCTGGATCGAAGCGATCACCTCATCGATCAGCCGCGGTACTGGACGCATTGGGCGACCAGGAAGGTGTAGGGCGTCAATCTCTCTCTCTCTCTCTCTCTCTCTCTCTCTCTCTCTATATATATATATATATATATATATATATATATATACAGTAGTTTAATATCACTGACACAATCTCTGTTTTTCTGTCTATTGTTCTATAAAGTTCACTCTCTCCCTCGCCGTAATTAACTCAGTCTATGTCTAAATATCGAGTACACATTTTAGCAATTTCTTTTGTCTCAAGTATAAACCTAGCCAATGTTTATTTATGTCTCAAGTACAAAGTAGACTAATTCTTACTCATTGTCTCAAGTATAAACCTAGCCAATGTTTGTTTATGACCCAAGTATACAGCAGACTAATTCTTACCTTTTGACTCAAGTATAAAGCAAACTAATTCTTACATTTTGACTCAAGTATAAAGCAGACTAATTCTTACCTATTGTCTCAAGTATAAACCTAGCCAATGTTTGGTTATGACTCAAGTATAAAGCAGACTAATTCTTACATTTTGTCTCAAGTATAAACCTAGCCAATGTTTATTTATGTCTCAAGTATAAAGCAGACTAATTCTTATCTTTTGTCTCAAGTATAAACGTAGCCAATGTTTATTTATTACTCAAGTACAAATCAGACTAATTCTTACCTATTGTCTCAAGTATAAACATAGCCAATGTTTATTTATGTCTCAAGTATAAAGCAGGCTAATTCTTACCTTTTGACTCAGGTATAAACATAGCCAATGTTTATTTATGAATTAGATATAAAGCAGACTAATTCTCACCTTGTGTCTCAAGTATAAACTATGAATTCATTGCGTTATTTGCCCTTATATTCAACGTTAAATGACCCAGAGCGGTTTTATATGCTGTTTGTTTACGACTCAGGTAAAGCAGACTTATTCTTACCTTGTGTCTGAAGTATAAACTATGAATTCATTGCGTTATTTGCCCTTATATTCGACGTTAAATGACCCAGAGCTGTTTTATATGCTGTTTGTTCACGACTCAGGTATAAAGCAGACTTATTCTTACCTTGTGTCTCAAGTATAAACTATGAATTCATTGCGTTATTTGCACTTATATTCGACGTTAAATGACCCAGAGCGTTTTTATATGCTGTTTACTGTTCCAGCTTAACGTAACATGCTTTGTACTTGGTTGGTGATTTCGAACTAAACTCCCCCACCTCACCAGACTCCAGAGAAACTGATCCTCTTTAATTTGCTGCGCCCCATTGAAGTCGAGTAAATTGCTTGAACGCGCGCCACAGCGGGAATCAGGCAATGAGGCGAACGATACGTAATTGCCCGCCTCTGATCAACAAAGCGTTATTTTCTGTTTTTCTTTGAATATTTCTTCTGCTTTTTTTTGGGGGGGGGTCCTGACTCATAAAAGCTTTTATGGTGAATGAGGGTGAATAAAATCAATTAAAAACAAAGACAAACACATACCTGAAACAAAACTCAGACAGGACAAATATTTTTTTTTCTTCCATATCTGGAGATAATCAAAGATGATACCGAACTAGATTTGACAAGAGAAAAGTCAGTCAACAATTTTAAGAATATAATTAAAAAAAAAAAAAAAGATTCTTTATCTTACTCAGGTCTCCAAAAATGTTTCTAAGCATTAGTTATAAAATAAATTCGCAATTCCTTATACAGTACACATACACACACCTGGCACAGGGCTCGTCCCTGGGCTGGTGTTATCCCGGCTACGACTAGCTTGGACCGGCTCCGACCTGGACCAGCTATGACAAGCCAAGACCAGCTATGACTAGCTTAGACCAGCTTGGAGAAGCTACGACCAGCTAAGACCAGCTTGGACCAGCGGCTCGAGTGAAAGCACTCGGGTCTCCACGTTAAAAACCGACCTTGTGTCACAACCTGACTCAGTGGGGGGGGTCAAGTAAATATCCATACACACACACACGAGCACACACTACATATATACAATGCATACTACTCCAGACAACGCAAGTGTATTATTAAAATTATGATATGTATGTAGATCTGCACATGTGTCGGAATTAGGGTTTTATTCCTATTCAGTTTTCATTTAAATGGATTTATAAATAATCTGCGAGACCATTTATGACTGATTTAAATTCTTCAAGGAATGCTAAAGGGAAAGGCTTATCCTTGTTAAAGATTAAGAAATTTACCATCAGTTTTAAAATCTTAAATCACAATAACTTCGCATGGACTTTTGAAGCCATGTTTGTGCTCTAGCTTTTTAAAAATAAAGAATTTTTAAAAATATAAAACAATTCATAAGTTATTCTTCTGTTAATTTGGTTAGCATTAGTGAGCCTGGACACACCGGCCTAGAGCAGTGGTTCCCAAACGATGCAGTGCGCCTCACAGGTGCGGCGAATGAGGATAGCAGGTGAGGCGGAATAATTGAAAGGACAATCAAAGATTTAGAAACAGTTTAAAAAAAAATCATATGCCAAAAATAAAATGTCCTGGGTATGACGATAATCTACATCCACGTCCTGGGTAAGGCGGAAAAACTACTCCCGCGTCCTGGGTATGACGATAAACTACATTCGCGTCCTGGGTATGACGATAAACTACATCCGCGTCCTGGGTAAGACGATAAACTATGTCCAACAGGAAATGCCACTGATAATACGTTTTTGAAAAAATAATATTAACAGCTATACATTTTTGAAAAAAAATAATTTTACCTGCTATACGTTTTGAGAAAGAAAAAAACATTTACCAGCTATACGTTTTTGAAAAAAATATTACCAGCTATACGTTTTTGAAAAAATAATATTACCAGTTATACGTTTTTTTACAAAAATAATACTACCAGCTATACGTTTTTGAGGAAAAAAAATATTAACAGAAATAGATTTTTGACAAAACAAAAATATTATCAGGAAAAAAAAATTGTTTGCATTAAATGACCCATTGAGGTTGATATGCCGTAAAACAAACCAAACCAAACCAAACCAAAAATAAATATGATTTCAAAATTTAAAATATTATAATGGATTTCTTGCAATTGCAAGCAAGTGTCCCAGTGTAAATAGTTATAAATAATTATTGACCGATTTTATCAAATGATATTTTGATATACGATATGTGATATTTTATGGAATATATCAAGTATTATGACTTAATGGTTAGAACGTTCGCATACTGACCATGAGGCCATGATTCGAATCTCACCATGGCCGATTTATCAGGAAGTCTCTTTCATGATTTTATCGGACTAGTGTGATCGATTGCGGTACCTTTGGAAACGGGTTGACTATGAGTGAAATTGGGGTCGTTGATAACTATGTTAGCACGAAGTCACAAGTATCGTGACCGAGGGCTTGAGTGTGCTGGCTTTGTTCAAATTGTTGATCACGCTTTTCCCAGAAATTGTAAATAAGCATAGTTGCAGTATAAACCCGTTGTAGTCTCCGTGGGTGAATGCGCCTGGGCAAGCGTCTGCAATAGGGATTGGTCAGCCGCCCTATTAGACGGGTTTTCTCGAATACGAGTGGCCAGCTACACAAGTATTAAGAATATAGGGTCAGCAAATTGGAGGAGAGAGTTATCAATGATAATGTTTTGACTTCGAATCTGCGATTACCTCCCTTTGAAGTTGTGTCTATTTTTTTATTTTTTTTTATTTTTTTTTAAATGCACATCAAATTTGGTGAGGGTGGAGCAAATTTTCAA